TTTATGTAGTAATCTGTTTTGAAAGGGAAATGTCCTTACAGTGAGTTTTTCCTGCACCTTCTGGAACTTGAATATGATGCAAATATGATGTAGCATTTATAGTAAGAAGATCTATCTGCTGTTACTTTTTAAGCACCAAACAACATGCTACACTACTTAATTATTTTTAATTTTCTTGCCTTCATGTGACCTATGACACTTTGAATTAATAATCATAATTACTGTATTGCTTATATGGGTTACTATAAAATATTAGTATGAAGTCTTGTAGCAATTGCAGAAGTACCCAGAACATGCTTGCAAGGATCACTTTTCTGAATTCATTTCAGTATAGTAATATTAAAACTTTGGTAATAGAAACATCATTAAAATGGTTATGTTACTTATTCTGCATTTTTGTCACACAGCCAAAATAAACAGGTATAACACTAACATTTCAGCTTTGCTGGTTAGCTTCACTTTGAGAGCCTTCATTCAAAAATATGATGATGTTAAGTCTATGACTTTTTTTATTTAAAAAAATGTTTTATTACAATTGAAACTAAAACTATCCTAATTCTACTGAGAGCATATTACCATAACCATCAATTTAGAAATTGCCTTTGATACAATCGTCTCAAGGCAATGTATAACAAAAACATAAAAAACACAAAATAGGCAGTCACAAGTGAAGACCAAATTATCCAGCTGGGAAAGCCTGTCTGAACAAAAAAGTATTCAATTGTTTATGGCAAGTGCAGATAGTGGACACCTGCCATATCTCAACAAGAATGCAAAACAGGGGCATCCACACTAAAAGCTCTGCTTAGTTACTGCAGAGCAGACTTCTGAGATCTTTGTAACTTGCAGGAAAAACTTTCCTGCATACTGCAGAGATCTACTGGGTCTATAAAGGAAAAGGCAGTCTCTCAAATAAGCTAGTCCTGAGCTATACACAGCCTTATATATTAGCACCAACACCTTGAACTTGGCCTGGTAACAGCCTGGTAGCCTGTGCAAATTCTATAGAGTGTTACATGCTGGTTTGCCCCCACAAGCAACCTAGCCATCATGCTCTGCACCAGCTGCAGCTTCTAGACCAACCCCAAAGTTAGCCCCACACTGACTGCATTGCAGTGTTCTAACCATTAGCTTACCAACACATAGGCAACTGGATCACAATTTTTAAAAAACACTGAAGTACACCAACATCCCACTTGGCATTTGCATCACCTGTGCCTCATGACTGACAACAGCTATGTAAACAGATTCAAGGAATATAATTTCCTCTATAAAATGTGAGCAAGGATCACAAGCATTTTCTCAAAGCAGGTTGGAAAGCATACTGGAATGGGTAAAGAAACAAAATAGTTTTATAAATTGGCCTAATTATTTGTTCTTAAAAAGAAGGAGGCTGGAAACTAGGCAATAACTTTCCACAAATCAGTAATAAAGTTTAAACTTGGTTCCAAAGATAGTGGATTTTGGTCTGTTGTGTGGTCCCTGTTAGAAGCTCTGATGATCACAGCTTGCTTGTCCCATGTGGCTTTCACAAGCCATGGGCGGGGATCTGGCAAGCTGCATGAACAAGCATCTACCAATACTTTTCCTTTTTAAACATTTATTCATACTGCCATAGCATGGCTCCTTGAGAAGTTCCTGATTTGTGGAGTAGCTTGTCAGGTAGCACATGGGACTGGTTTTGGAATGGGTGTTTCAGAAATCCTCCTACAATATATGTTCCATTTGATTCCCATTCATGATGGAGATCGGCCAAAATCACATCTAAGTAGAGACTGCTGAGGTGTCATCAGTAAAGGTAAAGGTACCCCTGCCCATACGGGCCAGTCTTGCCAGACTCTGGGGTTGTGCGCCCATCTCACTCAAGAGGCCGGGGGCCAGCGCTGTCTGGAGACACTTCCGGGTCACGTGGCCAGCGTGACATCGCTGCTCTGGCGAGCCAGAGCCGCACACGGAAACACCGTTTACCTTCCCGCTAGAAAGCAGTCCCTATTTATCTACTTGCACCCAGGGGTGCTTTCGAACTGCTAGGTTGGCAGGCGCTGGGACCGAGCAACGGGAGCGCACCCCGCCGCGGGGATTCGAACTGCCGACCTTTCGATCGGCAAGCCCTAGGCGCTGAGGCTTTTACCCACAGCGCCACCCGCGTCCCGGTGTCATCAGTAACCTACGCATAATGTACACACACACTTTATTTTTTTCATAATGGGATGCAGGCAAAGCCTTTGAAGTTGAATCCAGTCAAGACCTGCCAACCATCATTGCCTCAGTCTTGTAACCTGGAGGGATATGCTTACCAGCTATTGATGGGGTTTATCCTCCCATCATCACTATAGCCTAGGGATTCTCTTCAACCACTGCATCTGGAACTGGTAGCAGTGACCAGGAGCTTTTTCCACCAGCCTCTTCTAGAAAGAAGGCTGCTAGGCTTGTTGTCAGATTCAGACTAGTCTGCTGTCATTCATAAATATCAAGACTGGAGTTTCATAATTTTAAACTTAATTTTAAGTCCATTGTGTAGGGACCATGTCATTTATGCGTTCTGGTGGCTGCAGCTGGTGCACAGCAAGGAAGCCTGTCTATAAAATGAGAGGAACACATTCCATCAGTGCTCCACCATATGAGTTGTATTTACCAGTACATACCATTACAGAAACAATCCATGATACTGGCTTTGACCAATACAGTACATACTACATACTTTAAACACCATCTCCTTCCCTCAGTGTTGCAGTCTGCCACAAGCAGAATCCCTATAGTATGTTCTGTGTGAGATGCACAATAAACAAAAGTAAACAAAGATATCTAAGGTTGGGGAACAACTGTACAACTTCTCTTTGAAAACTGCCAAGTCTCCATGCTCACAATTTCCCCCAAGGCAAGGCAATTCAGACGAATGTATGGTAGCCACAAATAAGCAGGGGTTTCTCTTGTTATCCATTTGTTTATGTGTATTTCATACACATTTTAGTGTAAAGCAGCACTCCAAAAACAGAAACCTGCCAAATGAATTCCCCAGTACAGCACCTTCCCATGTTCTCTTCTATACAGTGTATGTGCAGACTATTTTGCAACCATAGAAAAATATAGAAATCGCTTTTGCATCACCTTACTTTCTAGTCAATTAAAAAAACAACCTTAAAAAACAACCTTAATTTTTTTTAAAAAAACGTTAAGAACAGGTCAAGTACATATCTGTAGCTGCACACTATTACTTCTGAAAGCCATCTAATGGCAAGGCCTTCATGCTAGTTTTTACACTAAGTATATAGCTAATACCAGCATGAGTTTGACCAAGCTGCGGGAAGTAGTGGAGGACAGAGGTGCCTGGCGTGCTATGGTCCATGGGGTCACGAAGAGTCGGACACGACTAAACGACTAAACAACAACAAAATAGCTAATAGAGGTGTCTTCAATAACTGATGGTACTATGCCTCCTGGATACATTGCCATGGATGAAAAAACTGGTGAGTTGTTTCTCCTCACTTCCTTAATCTTTTTCTTCCAACTGAAAATATCACATTTCTGAATTTTGCCTGAAAATTTAAAGGATTGCTTTTATTGAGCAATCAAATAAAAAGGAGGAATGAGTTGGTATCAGCATAAAGCAAATGCAATAAAAACAGCAGTGTCAACTTTAGCTATACATTATCCAGTCAAGGCCCACATGAGTGGGGTTCCCCATATCCCTTTGATTTTTTTTAAAAATCAAGTATCCGAACTGTTGAAAGCAAACCATAGTGTCTGTTTTGTTTTGAGCTGAAAGTAATATTCTAAAAGTTAGCTACTACCCATAACCCCCTTTCTTTTCCATTTAACTGGAGGCAGAAGAACTGTGTGCTTCAAAGACCAGTACAGAATTATAGCATGTACATTAACTGAGTCCATATTAATTATTACACAGAGCATAGATGCTTAGTATCAAAGTACTCCCAAACCTCAGTACAAAATTAAGTATGTTAATTTTTGTATGATGCTTTCTGTGTAAAAGAAAGCCAAAACTACCTGCATCTCCAGTGTCAGATTCAGCAAAGGACAACATAATGCTCCTTGTTTTCATTAATACTCAAGTACTCAGAGCCATAAAACGAGACACTAATTTAATTTCTTCACATTAACTGTCAGGATGCTAACAAACAGAAAGATGGCAGTAGCAAGAGACAAAGCCAAAACACCACAATCTTCCCCCAGCCACTCTCCTGTTGTTGTGCATACCCCTGGCTGTGGCTTTTGACAGCTCCTAGGGAGGAGCTTCCCATTACACAATCACCATCCTAAGATTGATAGAAGTGCTGCCTGTATGCAGCGAGAGTGAGAAGAAATTTGTTTTCAAAAGTAATCCTGTTATGGCAAAACTGGACTTTTAAAAACAGGTTTAAAAAACAAAACAAAAGGAAAAACAAACCCCACTATATTGCTATGAGTGTGGGGGGCGGGGAGAAGCATAGGTCGAGTAAACTAGAAGAGAAAAGACCTGGTGAGAGAAACTAATCTCAAAAGAAAGAACAAAATTAAAAATAGAAGCAGTAGGATAATAAAGGAGAGAGAGAGAGAAAATAAAAGGAGGAGAGCGATTCTAAGCATGAACCTGGGGTAGGAGAACAACAAAAAGAAGTTAAAAGTAAGGGAAATAATGGGAATGGCAGGACGGTGACAAAACAGGGGGGTGGGGAAGAGAAAGAAAGAAGGAAGTAGGAGAGGAAGGTAAGCCAGGGCCTTTCTCAATATGGCACTGGGGCAGGGAGGAGTGAAAAAAGTATAAACAAAAGGAAAGGCAGAAGCAGGCGAGGAAGGGGAGGGGAGGCAAAGTGCAAAGGGGAGAGGATGGAGGAGGAAAAGAGGCCAGAGGTGGCCCTTCTCGACATGACAACTGGGTCAGGAAAGAGGAGGAGGGGGAGGAAGCCCCTTCCTGGAGCTGACAGCGCTCCTGCCCTGCCCTGCCTCCCTTTTCTCTCTCCCCCTCTCCCTCTCGCCGCCATCCCCTCACGCACTGAACTTACTTCTTCCTGACTCTCTGGAAAGGGGAAGCGCCATCTTTGCGAGGCCGGCCCCTAGGTCTTTTGTCTGTGGCGGCCGCCGCCGTCGCCGTGGGGGGAGCTCCCGGCTCGGGGAGTTGTGGCGGCGGTGGAGGAGGAGGCGGCGGCTGCTCGGCCGCCGGCGCCGGGCTCTGCTCCTCCGTTGACATCCTAGTCAGCAGGACGGGAGAGGAGGCACATGGAGGGCGAGGAGGGAGCTTGGGGGACGGGGGTGAGGAGGAGGAGGAGGAGGGCGGCGATCCCGACGCTCCTCCTGCTCCCGCCGCCGCCGCTGTTCCCCTTCGTCGTCGTCTTCTTCTCCTGCTGCTGCTTCTGCTTCTTCTCCGCCTCCTCCTCCTCTCTCCTACCTCCGCCTCGCATTGCTGGCCTCAGCCGCCGCGGACCAGCGCGCAGGTAGCGGCATGGGGAGGGCGAAGGGAGGAGGGCCCGCCTCAGCCCACACGCAACCAGACCCCTTTCCTCACGGGGCGGAGGGGAGGGCCGGCGAGGTCGGCGCAGGAGGGGAGAGCGACCCGCGGCGACGACGCCACCAACCGCCGGCGCGCGCAGGGCAGGCCGGCTTCTCCCGCCGCCTCAGCTGAGGAGAATCTCTCCCTCACGCGACGACGCCCGCTCTCGCCTCACACAAGGCCCGGGGAGGGTGGCGGCCGCAGGCAACGAACGACTCCTTCTCCTGCTGCTGCTGCTGCTGCCGAGGAGGAGGCAGCCTCCGCCGCCGCTTCTTCGGACGTTGGCCCTGTGCCCTTCCCCCGCCCCCGGGGGAAGGGGAGGAGGCGGAGGCCGACGCTGGGCGGGCGGGCGGAGGGCAGCTGAGAGGAAGTTTTGACAGCTCCTCCAGCTGCTGCTGAGGGAAAGGAACGTACAAGTGGAAAGCGCCCGTGTGGTGGTGGGGGGTGTGTGTGTGGTGGGTGTTGGGTGTCGGGGAAGGGAGGTGGGTCGCTCTAGGGTGTGCGCCGGCTCATTACAGGGCGACTCCTCTCCTCCGCCTTCCCTCGCTCCTTTCTTTCCTTTTCCCCTCAGGCGGGCCCGCGACGCCGCCAGCCAGGAAGTTTTACTTGAGGGGAGAGAGAGAGAAGAAGCCGGGGGGGAGGGGCGAAGGAGACAGTTTCTGAGGGAGGGTGTCGCGCGGCTGACGGGCGCAACACCCTCCTTCCCTGAGGTGGCGACGGTGGTCGCCGTGCTGAGGCGCGCCAGCAGCCCAGTTAGCAGCGACAGCCGCCCGCTCAAAACGCCGCGCTGTTGTTGTTTTCCGCCCTCACAGGCGCAGCCACCGCCGCCACCTTCCGAGAAGAGGGAAGGGAGGGGAAGGCGGCGGCGGCGACAATCGCTCGGCCTCTCTCGAACTCCCCGCCCTCCCCCTCCCCCTGCTCTAGGCAGGGCCCCCCACTGCGCCTGCCCAAGTCGCCCGCCCACCGGCCAGCCCTTTCCCTCTCAGCGCAGACATCTCATTCGACGCGCCGCCGCCGCCGCCGCTGACCTCACGGGCGGCGCTGCTGCTGCTGCTGCTGTTGGCAGCGGCGAATGTCGTGGTGGCGGCGGCTGTGGCAAAAATGTGGAGCGCGGAATCAAGGGACGGGATGAGTCTCTCTCGCTCTCTCTCGACGGATTGGAAGCCCCCTAGGAGGACTTGTTGTCCCGGTGCGGCTGCCTCGCATATGTGGCGCAAGCGAATTTTGCGCCTCTCTCTATGTTTGCACGCGCATAGGAGCCAACATCTAGGGGCCGAGATCCCTTCGAAGGACCCCCAATAAAATATTTGAGGGGGCTGGGCCCACCCCTAAGTTGATGGCCAGTGCGTGTGCACGTCTTGTGTTCGATTATGTGGGGCGGGGCTTATCTGCCCCCCCCCGCATATTTTATTCAAATTGGCACTCGTGTGTGTGTGTCGCGCTGGACCGGCGAGTGAACTCCTTCCATCCAGCGCAGTGGTGCCAACTTTGAATAAAATACTGTATTGGGGGAGAACAAATAACCCCGCCCCACGTAATCGATCACAAGACTGAATTGCAAGCACACCATTTGAATCATGGTTGAGGCCCCTCAGTCCTCCCCTAGAAAACATATGAGCCCCCCCCACCCCACTCCCAAGTTTATGGGCATTGCCATTCAAATTGTGTGCGCGCTCCGCCAGTGTGATCGATTATGCAGGGCAGAACTTACCTGGCCCCCCTCCATATTTTATTCAAGTTGGCTCCTCTGAAGCCCAATCAACTTTAGAGGGGGTAAACCCGTCAAATTTTTTGCTTGAGGGGGGAAGTCGAAGGGACCTCGGCCCCTAGGTGTTGGCTCCTATGGTCCCCAGTCTGGGTGTGAAAAGGACACCTAACCCCACCTTCTCCCAATGGGGATAAGAATGCTGGGCACGGGCTTGGCTGCGCCTTCCCCACCCTCGCACGACCACACCCACTGAGGCTTCCTTGACTGTTTTCACACGCAGTCTACGCGCGATTGACTTTTTTTGGGGTGTGTGGGCGGGCGGGCCTCTCGCCGCGCGCTCTGCAAAATATGCACACGTGGAAGCGCCTGACAACAGCTGCGCTGCTGCGCTCCCCTGCCCAGACCTCTCGCACAAGATCCCAGGCGCGAAGTGGGAGGCGCTTCGGCCGCGCGATTGTTCCAGCCCCTGCGAGGTCAGCGGAGGTTGAGCAGGGAATAGCTCTGCAGACGTGTAGGGGAAGGCAGGGAGGGAGGGATCGTCGGAGGGTGTGCGCGGAGAAAGCGCTGGCAGGCCGTGGGCGTGACATTTCACCTGGGCGCTGAGAAGGCACCGTCGATTGGACGGCTGTGCACACACACACACACACCTCGCACATGTAGGTTGTAGTTGCTCGGTCCAACAACATTACAGACCCGCCCCGGTCAGCTTTCACTGACGGAAGCCTGGAGGGTGGGGAGCCGCGATTGGCAAGGGGCTGCGCGTGGGGAGAGCGCGGCACCAGCGAGGGAGATCGCCTGGGGAGAGGGATGCTTTCCAGCATCTCTGGTTGCAGCAGCTGCTGGGGCTGCTGCTTGGGGGGGCGGAGGTGGAGGGGGCTGGCGATGGCGCTAATCCTGCTCCCCACTCCCCCTGGGATAGGGGCCTAGCTGGCTGGCTACCTGCCCAGATTCTCTGAGGCTCGGCTCGGGGGTTAAGCCTCATTACATGGGATTTAACTTGTCCCAGAGTACAGCCCGAGACTGGCTCGGAGGAGGAGACGCTCGCTCCGTGGTGCCCTCTGTCCTGATACCAGGACATGGGGCGCCAATGTAGGGCGCGAGTGGGGTGGAGCTTGAAAGGGGCAACAATCTGCCTCGAAGGTGGGGTGCATGTCATTCTCACCTGATCTAGCGCCAAGTAAGCTTCTTTTGCTTTTTTATGGCCTTTGGGAATCTTTCTCCCCTTCTCTGACACTAGATTTGGGTTTAACTGTTGTTTGAGTTACCACATCACAGCTGCTGAGTCATGCAACCAGAGCCAGGGGCAATAAAAGAATTAACCCTCGAACCTTTTGAATGAGCCATAGGATTTTAGAAGCAGAAAATAACAGTGCAATTTTAGCCACCTCTGTTCAGAACTAAGAGCTACTGAATTCAACAAGACTTACTCCTGGGTAAATTAAGGCGGCAATCCTAACCCCATTTACTTGGGAATAAGCCCCATTGAAATCAGTAGGAATTCTGCGTAGCCATAATCAAAATTGCAGCTGGATGACTCTGATTGCATAATTTGCATGACCCTGGATGCAGAATTTGGATTTTTTTAAAAAAAACATCCAGTGACCTCATATTAGCCAATATTTTTAAACAGTTGGTGGTCATTATAAAAGTTTCATTAATCCAAAGTGAATGTAGAGCTTTGTTTAAAAGGGTTCCTATTGGTTTATGCATAATAATAGTATTTAGCATTTGTATATGGCTTTTTGAGTGTGCATTATATCAGTATTTTACATGCATTATCTCAGTAAGCTTTACAATAACCTTGAAAGATAGACAGCATTATTTTCCCCATACTGTGCATGGAGCTGCGGAGGCTGAGAGCGTGACTATTTTGTGAGTTTATGGCTGGGTACAGCTTTAGCAGCATACAGGGAGAGAGATTAAACGAAAAGAAAAATGGATAGAAATGTAACACCCATGACCATTTTCGAAAGTATTGTGTATCTCGGGAGTGGGGACCCTGTGGCTCTGCACATGTGGACTCCAGCTCTCATCAGCCCTAAGCAGCATGACCAGTTGGCTGGGATGATGGGAGCTGTAGTCCAGCAACATACGGAAGGCTATCTTTGACACTGCTGCTTCTAAACTGGTGCATTTTCTTATATATAAAATATAAGAAGTCTATGACAAATCAACAAAGTCCTTCACACAGAGTACGTCGTGCTAGCTTTTATGAGGCTTCCACACAATGAAATGTTGCACAATGGCATACACTGTGATTGTGTGATAACAGAGAGTTTTCACAGAAAAGCCATGGGGTAACAATTGCACAATCATTTATTGCAGGCTATGAGTGCTTCTATAATGGGCACCCTCTGGAGGCTTGCCTTGGGTGTTGGGAGACAACTGAGGTTGCACATTTACTTCAGACTAAACCTCAATAAACCTTGTGGGATTTAACTTTTTAGTAAATTTGTATAGGGTTGAGCTGCATACTTGGGACTATCTCACTTACTTCCAAATGAACATTGTTAGGATCCACAAGGGGTATATAGTTTGCATTGAAATCTTTTAGGGCCACCAGATACCATCCTTTCCCCAGGCAAGTTCACATAATTTGAACTTATACTTATTGGTTGTGAAATTGCTGGAGTACAATGAAAGCTTTTTTAAAAAGTGGTCTATAGAATGTTGAACAACTCTCTTAGTTTGAATGGCACCTCTAGGAGGAATAGCACTTGGGAAAGAATGAAGGACAGAGCATCGTAACCAATAAGCGCAAGCAAGAGTAGGAAGAGTGCTCCAGAGTTGTTGCTTTGCTGTCCGCCCTCTTTGGAGTATGATGCAGGCCTGGACTTGCAGTGCTACAGCAGGTTTGGGGTTGCATGAGGTCAAGTCTATTGCAAATGCTTCACCTGATATTGCAGGACTTACGCTCTTCCACCACCACTTTATTAAACCTTTCAGTTATATTATATAGCTTACTGATATATAAACGTAATCCTCAGTGGAGCACTGCTTCACAAATACCGGTAATTGCCTGAGAGGAAGATATGTGCATGACAAACTCTCATAAGTGGGAGGGGGGTTTATGAGTTAGGTTTTTTCCTTGTT